TCCCCCCCCCCCCCCCACCCCATCTGGGTTTCTCTTTCTTTTACCCCTGTGGCACACTCCTGATATTAGGGTAGATAAGATGTAACACCTAGCCTTCTCGGATACGGGTGAAAAATCTCAGAGGTACCTACCTTGGTGGTCCTAAAATCGACGAGAGTAGGCTTCGGTCACCACCCGCGGACAAAATTCCTAATATGTAAGAATGCAGTTAATCAATTTTTAAGAGCCAGCTGTTAGTCTCAGCTTTTAAAAAATTTCAAATGTGCTGTTATATCTCGAGATTTCCTTTATCATCAGGTTAATTCCTCCTGTTGGTGTTGTGTTTCGTAAGGCTCTGCAGCCTGACATTCTAGGTGGCTACCCAGTCCCAGCTGGGACACCAGTGGGTGTCAGTATCGGAGCATTGCACAGGTGAGTACAGTTGAGTATGTTCTCTATTTAATGTCGTCATTATCATTGCAGTTGTCATAGAGTTCTTCTTCTTCCTCTCCTTCTTCTACTTCTTCTTTTTCTTCTTCTCCTTGGCCTTCTCCTTCTCCTTTACGTTCTTCTTCTCCTTCTTCTCCTTCTCCTTTACCTTCACCTTCTCCTTCGCCTTCTTCTTCTTCCCTCTTTCTTTTCTCCTCCTCTTTCTCCTCCTTATGGTGCCATATCTGAAATAGACGTGAATAATAATTGTTTGCCATTCATTTTTCTGAGCTGATGCGCTCAAAAAAATCTTGTTTTGAATATCTTGTAATTGTATATTTGTATCACAACTCGGTGGAATCAGCCACTCGTCATTTTTTAAGCATATGGACTAATTAATGTTTGAAAGATTGTTCATTTGTCTTGCATTTGGTGAAAAAAAAATATCCAACTGTTTGGAAAGGAGTCAAGATATTTACGATGGAAGGAGGTAGTAGAGGTTGCCTGGTGTCAGAGGTGAAATTAGCGAGGAAGTAGCCCCCAAAGTTTGGTGACTTTCAAAGCATTTAACATTTTTTATTTTTTGTACCTTTGATCATCGTTTTTCAGTAAAATCCAAACAGAAATGCCTTTTTTAAAAAAGCCAAAAAGATTTTTTTAAAATTTTTAAATTCCTCAATGGTCAGAAAAATGCCAGTTTCTTTGATTACATATTATTTTGATGAGCGCTTGATTTCCCCACACTGCCTCACATTTTCTTTAAAATTCACAGAAATCCCTATTATTATTTAAATAGCACATGCCCATGTTCTGCAGCATGCTGCGTACCCTTTACGACTATTATACCTTGTATAGCACTATGTTAAGGTTTTTGTTTGTGGCTAATCTTGTCATTTTGATATATGATGTATTCATAATACCTGGTATCTTTAAAACATTCTTTTCATTTGCCATTCTAGATTGGAATCAAACTGGGAAGACCCTCTGACATTCAAGCCAGAGCGTTTCTTGGAAAAATATGATTACTACAAGTTCTTGCCTTTCGGAGCTGGCCCATACATGTGCATTGGTCACATTTTTTCTCTCACTGAGTCCAAAGTGGTGCTGGCTACCTTGTTAAGAAACTTTCGGATGAGTTTACCGCCTGGATACAAGTACAAGAGGATTCGTCAGCTCACCATACAGCCTAAGCCACCATTGGAGCTTGTGATAGAACCACTGTGAACTGGAGTGAGGAATTAGGACATTGCAGAAAAGCGTAGTTGAAAGTCAAATTGTTACTTAGCCCTTTTGTGTCAGGTCCTGAACACTGTACATCAAACATAAGGAGCTAAAACTCTGCATTCCTTTACAGCGTACGCCCTAAAATGTACCATATGGGATTTTGTTACTGTTCTACAATAGTTTTTAAGAAGCTTAGAAACCTACTAAAATTTTATAATCTGCAATAATGAAAATGTACAAATCACATAAATTTTTCATTTTGAAAGAATCTGCAAAATAACTGAAACTGCTCACCACCCTAGCCAGCAAATCTTGAGAACAATAAACGTTAAAAGAATCTTATGTCAAGTAGGGTTAAGGGAGCAGATGAGAACTGATACAAGATGAATGAATTAACAGGATGTTTGGAGGGTTGTCAGCAACAGGAATGTGTATAATCACATGTATGAAACCCTGACAGAGTAAGAGAAAAGTAGTTAAACAGTGCTGATTTATTGTATTTTATAATCATGTACTATGTACTCCAAAAGAAGCTCTAAGACTTCACAATCATTGTTGATTTCTTTACTGGTCTGTACTGTGTAATGTACCATTTCAGTCTTTTAAGAGATACCTGAATGATGATGCTAAAAGTTATTTTAGAAAATGGTTAACATGGCATACAATATACTCTATAGAGGGTAAACATTTTACCTCAAATTTCACATAATGCAAAATGAGGTACAGCAAGGGTTACAAGAGCTGATTGAGAATCTTTGAACTTTATGTGCCCTAAAATCTTGCCTTTGTTCGCTTAATGAGAAACTTTCTGTATATTTTTTTTTGTGTTTGAGAAATCGGAGTTGTATAGGGCATGTTTCTTGTATAGCTGTCAAGGTATGGCTGAAAATTAAAGAGAGTATTGTATTAAAATGTGACATTCTGGAATGGGAGGCTCGCACTGTGTTTAGAATACAAATTTGATGGTTGTGGAGAAGCCCATCAATAATCTTTAAAAAGTACAAAAATGGGTAATTGATAAAGCCATTTTTTGTTGTTTATGTGCAGAGAATTTTTTTTTATGTGATTGATGTGGCTTTATTATTATACTATGCAATGTTTTTTATATAAAATGATTTGACAGAAAGCTTTTCACATTGTTTACTGTTTCTATTGTTAATGACATGATTTATGATCTTGGAAAAGCGACATGGGGTAAAATCTCTGGAGGTTGGAAAAAAAACTTGGTTCTTATAAAAAAATGATGCTACTATCTATGTGTGGTTTATCTTCAACTTGGAAGACTGAACTTTAGATAAGCTTATTTTCCTGTCCCAAAGTCTGGTCAATACTCTGGTGTCAGTCTTTCTGGGAAAATGAAGAGCATTCCTGCCAGTAGCAATTATCTTGAAATGGCAAATTTTTCGTATAGCATTCATTGTTGTCAATTTTCGTCACATATTAAATACTCATGACGAAGCGCATTACAACATTGCATGGTACTTTGTTTCCATTTTTCAGATCGCTGTTTCTTTGTCTCGCTAAACATAAATCAGCAGTATTTGTAAGTGGTGTGTGGAACCTCTGAAGGTGGGTCAGAAAAAAAAAAAGTGGCGTTGGTGCTAAAACCAGTTGCAGCAATTCATCCGATAGAGATTCAGGTAGAATGGATGCATGAGGTGATTGTATTGACAGTTACAAAACCTCTCACTGTAAATATTTGTCAGCTTTCTGTAGAGAGGTTGTATGTTAGGGGTGTGTGAGTCTAGTATTTTTTACTGGAGTCGAAGTCCTAGTAATTATGAAATACTGCTCAATATTTGCTTTGACATGGTCACTGGTTTGAGAAAATGGCGGTTCATCCAAGGCAGCCTTGACCACCAAAATTGAGCAAACTGTATGTGCAAAGCAGGGTATGGCGGCAGTGCTTATGCTTCTCTTCTGCAGTCACGCCGGTCATATTTTTATAAATAGACAAAACACATCTGTAGAATTTACATGTGTCTCAAGCGAATAGATGGACTTTCAGGTGGATCTGGAGAAGAAGAGGGGAGCTGCAATATTATCAGCAGTATGAATTTAATACACTGACGACCTGAATACCCAGTCCTTTCCAAGGAAGAAGCAATGCAGATAGACAGAAACAACAGAGGGAAAGAAAAGAATAACTTAGGACTTACCAGTGACGCCCTCCAACCACCCGCCAACCCTCTGTGAGGTAGTGGCGAGTCACAATAGTTGCCATGGAGGTCCACCTTCCGTTGTTTTGGGGTTCTGCAGTCGTATAGCTCGGTCCTGTCGGAGATGGACATTTTAATTCAAGGCCCTGATTATTGAATAACCTTTCAGTGTTGAAAGTGATGTTTAACAATAACCTTTGACCAAAAATGTTCTGGTCCATGGAATTAATCTTGGTGGATCTTAAACCTGGAATGACATTTAACTTGTGAATGCTTCTGGGAAACCATAAACTACTATGTTGTGCACTGAATCATACTAAATGAATAGAAATTAGTTTGCTGTCATTCACAAGATGTTTGCACCACATTTCCAGTGCATAGTCACAGAATGATTTAATTAAGTGGTTCATTCACCGACTCGTCCAGGGGTCATTGCTTGTTAAAATGGGGAGGAAACGACAGCAATGTATATAGGCTATATTATATTATAATATGTATATTATATATTTCCCCCCAAAAGAACGTATATCAAGGGGATGATAAAAAAACCAAACCAAAAAAAAAAAAAAACGACTAAAAGACAAAAAACCAGCAAACCATCAACAATCCCAGACTTAGACCATTCTCACGTTCACGACAGATGATGCTTTCGCTGTAATGAGAAGCATGGTTATAATACAGACTTCAACATAAGTTAAGGACCTCTTGCAAACACTCAGAGTGGTCTTCTTGGTTCGACCTGCACGTGGACAATGACAAAGTGTGACACTGCAAGCCTTCTGGCAACTTCTCGGGCTCCAACTCCATGCTGCAGCCATGCCATAGTTCTGGTACGATGTCCTGGTGGCGTGTTGATGCTCTACTCTACTGGATTTTGGGTAGACTGCGGTTTATATTGCCGCCAAAGTGAGCACAGTTCGAAACCGTACGTCAGTTTATGACGTGCACCAGAAATTTTAGCTGAAGGAATGTCCGTGGTGTCGCTCACAAGGCGATGAAAAACAGCAAATTTGACTAAAATTCCCCCGAGGATTTCTGTGCTGCACTTGGTGGCTTTGCTCCTTTAGGCAGCTTTGCAGTACCCACTGGTAACCCATTAACACTTTCAGAGCAAAAAGTTTTGAAACATTCCTTGCTGTCTTTTTCGGATTTTTTAAAAATCAGGGCTGTCTGTCAAGGTGGTCCTTAACTTATGTTGAAGTCTGTTTATATCTCTAGACCCAGAATCATCAACACCGAGTGCTCAGCCGAGGACTTTACATAATATGTGAGGCAGCGTGGTGGAATCAGGCTCTCGTCAAAATAATCAAAATGAAGAAACTTGCATTTTTCCGCCGGTTTGTGAATTTTTATTAATTTGTTTGTTTTTTGGCTCAACACCTTTCATGCCCATTAAAGAAGTCTTTTCTGTGTGGATTTTTCTGAAAAACGCTGATTAAAGACACAGAAAATGTAAATTTTTAATAATAATAATAATAATTATAATAATATAACATTTATATAGCGTATTTCCAAAAAAGTAGCTCAATGCGCTTTACATTGGAATACCCATTTTTCAAAAACCTTTCTTACTACTTCCTTTCTTCTCAAGCAATATACATTAATGCACACACACACACACACACATACACACACACACACACACACACACACACACACACACACACACACACACACAGAGAGAGAGAGAGAGAGAGAGAGAGAGACTATTTTCATCCAGACATAGGAACAGAACAAATATAATGAAAGATAACGTTAAAAGCTTATGAAGAATAGGCCTGTAGGAACAGAAAATGTTTAAGATGTCTTTTGAAGCTATCAAGAGTTCTTATTTGTCTTAGTTTCATGGGTAATCTGTTCCACATAAATGGACCAAGATATGAGAAAGATCTCTCTCCATGTGATTTGTATGATTTTACAGGTGTCACAAGTAGGGTGTTATCGTTTGATGATCTTAGGTTTCTCCCTGGTTTATATATACTGATAAGTTCTTGTAGATAAAAAGGAGCAGTTTTATTTACACATTTGAAACACATGACCCAGATTTTAAATATTATTCGTTCTTTTACAGGGAGCCAATACAATTCTTTTAATAATGGAGTGACATGGTCTCGTTTTTTAGATCTTGTTATCAGTCTAGCGGCATTGTTTTGAATTACTTGTAAACGATATTTTAGTTACCACAGACTCTTAAGCTAAGGAAATAACTAACTTTTAGTGGCCATTTTCTCACTAATTTTACTTCTGAAAACATGTGACCCCCACCTCCTTCTTTCGTAAATGTCTCAACTTGTATTCAAGATAAATGGATACTTTTTTCATCCAAATAAAGACAAGTGAACAAACTTTAAGATGATACTAATAACTCTACATGCCCAAAAATTGACGAGAGCCTGATTCCACCACGCTGCCTCACATATGGTCTTTGAAATACATGTTATTACATCACTGTGTCGAGTACTATGTCCACTACCTGACCATCTGTGGTCTGTAGGTTGTGTGATTTCAGTCAGGCAAGTGTATGTTGAGTAGCGGTTAGGTGCTTCGCTGGTGCACTCAGGAGACTCGAGTTAAATTCTCGATTCGGGGGGGGGGGGGGGGGATATTAATCGATAGCCTCGGTACTTCACCTGAGTTGCATCACTCTGAGCTCGGGTTGGCCCTGAGTCAGAGTGACAGGCCGGGTCGAAGCCGGCTTCCCATATATCCTGCCTCGGTAGGCCTACTTACTGCATCTTTGAGTGCATCACCTCACGAAACGACATAGGCCTACAAATGGCTTCGTGAAAGTTTCCGCCATTTGTTTGACCATGCATGAAAGTTTCTGCTGACATTGTATGACCTGGCATATCCTGTTACTTCAGAAATTACTGTTGATGTTTATTGTATTCCACCGATTTTTTTTCTCGTGCGCGATTTGAATTCGCGATTTTAAAAGAAACTGGCGAATTCAAGTCTTTGACGAACCGTTAAAAGAGACGCAAGTTCTACTGTATTCAATGGAACTCATGACACTGGAAACTTAAGTCATGAATTCTAAGTGTTTCCGGTAAACGAAATGGGCAATACCGCGCCACCCCCCCCCCCCTTTCCGAAAAAAAAATTCAACAAAATAGGCCACCCAAAAAATCTCGATGTACAGTTTTTGAACGTTTTGTCGTGAGGAAGGTCGTAACCTGGGGCATTTACGGTCTCTGATCTATTTGGACCCTCTTAGTCTCATATAAATAGCACTAAATGTCACTGTCGGTATGACCAATAGGCTACCTGGAGAAAGTTCATAATCTGGGTCTTTTACTAATCCCAAATGTCTGCTGTGCTATTATTATCTCAAAAACTGTGCGGTTCGTATTGTTTATTTGAACAAAAAATTTTAATCGGCGTATGTAGTGCAGCGGTTTGACGCTTCGCTATCGCACATAGGAGACCCCATTTTCGATTCCCGACGGGGAAGATTTTTTTTTTTTTAATCAAGTATCTCGGTCTTTTTTCTGGGATGTTGTACCCCTCTCAGCCCGGGTTGACCCTAAAAAGCAAGGTCTGGAGCTCGCCTCATAACGTTTGTCTGATCTAAATTGTCGATGGGGGCGTAAAAACACATAATATTATTAAAAGAAACGAGGGTAGCTTCTAACTTTCCAGTGTCTACAGCCTATGAACACCAACCATTGTGGTGACTGACAACCAGACTCTAATGTCTGCGTTCATCACCACCCTTGCCGATACATACATGTACAGTTCCTTTCTTCGCTGGAACCTGTAACTGTACTGCATACTGACTGATCAGAATTGCGATGGTCTCTAAAATGTATTCAGGGATTTGAAGTCGTTCACTAGCAGCATCTCTTCACAATCATTGGTCCATTGTCTTTCACCTTCTTGGTGTGTGCTCTGCGTGGTTTTTTCCTTTTCCACTCCAACATTTATCCTCCTGATACCACCTTCCTTCTTTTTAGTGCCTGGTACTCTATTGCAACACCTCTATTCTTCGGCACTTAAATGACATTATTGTTTGCAAGTGCCGTAAAACTCTTACTAATATAATATATATATAAATAATCATACTAAATTCTTTCACCCTCATCCTCATTTCCACTGTCTTTATCACTGCTCCCACCGGCCCCCTTACTGGACTTGGTCTTTTGCCTAAGGAGCTACATAGTCTAGGTGTGTGTGTGTGTTTGTGTGTGTGTGTGTGTGTGTGTGAGTGAGAGAGAGTGTGTGTGTGTGTGTGTGTGTGTGTGTGTGTGTGTGTGTGTGTGTGTGTGAGCGAGAGAGGGTGTGTGTATGTGTGTGTGTGTGTGTGTGTGTGTGT